TGCAGCCTAGACTTCAGTAATTTTCTCTGTTAAGCAGTGCCAAACTCTGTTAGCCCATGGCCAGGGCTCCAAGGTGAACCTTGGAACAGAGGCAGAGCTACTGCTACAGAAGAGAGATTTAACTGTTTTACCAGATGTCTGACTCCACTGACAGCAGCATGCTCTACCTCCCCTTTTCTTTCTCTCCCCACTGCCATGCCAGAGACAGGAATCTAGTCAAGACAGCAAGGTACCACATGAATATTTCAGACAGTACCCAGACTGCCAGCTGCTTGGGAGTGTTTCAGTGTGCAAGGCAAGGCAGAGACTACAGTGCAACTACAGGAATCTGAGTTGGTTTCTCATGTTGCTGTGGGATTTGATCATGGAAAAAACCTTCTCTACATAGACACAAACCAGTCAGTTTGCTAGAAGACAACCAACAAAACTTCAATGATATCTTTGTAGCTTATCTGAGAAAGGCCACATGATAAATATTTCCTTCTATGAGCTTCTATTTTCACTTGATATTCTAGTATTGTGTTGTGGAAGAGTGTAAATAGAAGCATCCCACACAAACTCTCTCTATGATTTACTGACACTTCTTTTAGAGCCTTCTTATTTCCTAGTATTATGGAATAATCTAAATTAGAAAGACTTTTTAAGTGTCCAGTCCAACCTCCTGCTCAAAGTGGGGCAACCTTGCTGTGCCTTGACCTGTCAACTTTGAGCCTCTCCAAGGATGAGAATTCCAAAACTCTCTGGGCACCTTTTCAGTGGTTGAACACCATCATCGCTACAGTGGTTTTTTCTCCTCCTTATTTCTTTTCACAATTTCCCTTGCTGCCATTTGCAGCTGTTGACTTTTAGCCCTTTCACTGTGGGCTTCTGGGAAAAGCCCATCTCCATCTTCTCTATAACTGCTTATTAAATAGTTTATTTACTAGATAACATGGTGATAAGGTTCCCTAAATGCTTCTCTTTGCCTGTTTCAAATGCATTTTGCAAACACTAGTGCAAGATGCCAGTTGCTTTTCCCCAGCCTCTGTTTTCCTACAGTGCTCAGATACTCTAGAAGGCAAGAATGGCTCAACTTTCTTTCATGTCAAAACAATCAAAAAGCCATGTCAAAAGTGCTCTTTCATGTAATTTTCCCACTGGTGTGTCTGTGCGAGCCTTGCCCCCCACCATCCCAGCTCAATGACCTCTCTCCCCTAGCAGGCTCTAGCCCCATCTTGCTGCCTCACCTGCTTTGGTGATGGCAGCCACCCTGGGGACCACCCATCCTTGCTGGGATACTGTACAGCTGTCTGCACGTTTTCTCCAGCAGCTCTCCTGGCACACCAGCAGCTTCACTTGCAGTATCTTCCACCTAAAAGGAGTACAGCTAGCATAAAGGTGCCACTAAGTTTTTTTTTTGACTAAAGAAACTGTTGGATTCCCTGCAAAGGTTTTTATTAACATAGCTGGTTCCCAGTTCCTGGCCAGTCCAAAAGGTCCCTATCTTCTGACAACATGCTATCCTCCTTAAGAATTTCAGAGAATAATCTGAGTGATTTTCTCACCCTGAAAACCTACCAAGTATTATGTAAAAAGAAGTGAATTCTCACATGGATTAACAGAAATAAGGCTCACTGTGCTGTCAGGCTTACCTTTATGTTGCAGTGGTAGCCACCAGTTTTGCCTCTCCCTCCTCTCGCCATCAACTCCTGGATTGGTTAAGACTAGGGGAGATTAGGAAAACCAAAACAATGGAGGCTCTCCCTTCCCATGCACCCTTACAGGGGAGAGCTCTGACCTAGAGTGGCGCAGGAACTGAAGTGAGCAGTCAGGTCCTTCCTGAGGCCAGATCCACCAGCCAGCTTCGGGTCAGGTTTACAGTTTCAGACTGATGGTTGTGATCTCATTCCCAGAACACAGTACCACACACAGCACTCACCAGCCTTGCTGACACCCCCTTAATCAAATGTCCTACTAACGGTGAGAAACTCCAGAAGGACATCATTAAACTCTGTAAAAGAAGTTTTGGACTACAAAAATCCCTGGAAAGTTCATGAAAATAGTTTGTTGAGGGCAACTAAATACAAAGACACAAGAGACCACATGTTTTCAGAAGACTTTTCTTGCCTCAGGAAATGCTGCTGTTGCTCTAGCTTGAAGTGATTTACTTTTTAACACCATTTTAACACCATTGAAGTGTCTCTGGTCTCAACTGGGCACATGACAGACATCAGTTCTGATTGTTTCAGAACTGTTTGTAATTACCAGCTGAGGAGCTCTACCACAGAACTCAGTATGCTGCCATTACTACTTCTACCAAATGTGAACTCTTACAGGACATATTCTCCAAAACAACATCACTTCCAAATTATTTCAAGATGCCTAGCAGCAGATGGACTGCAGACTTGCATCCTAAATGAAAATTATCACACCAGAAGTGCAGGGGGCAGGGAGGTGAAGAGCAGCTCATTGCTGAGAATGAAAAGCCATGAACGGCAAGTACTACACTCTGAATTAAAGCAACTCTACTTTGCATAAAGATTTTTCAGGCTTCTTCCCATACAGTGATATTTCATCTCTTACAACAGTTTATTTTAAAGAAATGAAAGTGATGGATGTACAGAACCAAATTAAACTTTTAGATCAAAACCATCCATGTCTTGACATCTATCCAAAGATTGACTAGTCTCACTCAAATTTATTTGCTGAGACTATGCAGTTAGACTAACATGTAGCACTTAAATTTTCCGTCCATATTTACCAGGTTGTTTCCTCAGTTTTCAACTGGAAAACCAGACATTTCTCCATAAAATTTCTGATAGACTTGTGGTAAAATTCTCTTTCCAGACAACTTTTAGATTTTCCTCCTTTCCCATGTTTTGAAATCTACATTTTTCAGGTGGGCTTTTTTCCTCCCCTTTTAGTCAAACTGATTTGGGCAGATCATGCAGCTAACACTGCAACTCTCACTTCCCTTCCTCTTAAAAAAGAGGACATCTAACTGAAAAATGCGTAGATCAAGGCTCTTTCCCCCTCTTTTTCCTGCATTTCTTGTATCTGCTAGGAAAGCTCAGTCTATATTTATGCCCATGACTATAGCCTGAAGAAACCAGGAAAGAATTAATCATATGCAAATTTATGCCACATATTAAAGATAATGGATAAAAATCTAAGCAAAGCCTAGGAAAATTAAGGTACTAATTCATACACTGATACACCAGAACTGGACTCTTGGAAGCATTCCTTGGCACTCAATTCTTAAAAAACAATCCCAAACCAACAAACTTACACGTATGTCTTGAATTTCGCTCCCCTCCCCAGAGTAATTCTCAGAATCTAGCCAGGAGAGATTTCCTGAAGTACTGTAAACAGTATCAGGGTTACACGTGAGCAATTAGATTTACATTTTCTCTAGCCTTTTTTGCTTAGGGAATCTTGCAAGATTAAAGGTATTAATAATAATATGTGTAACAGTGGTGAATCCAGAGAACAACTTTGCTTTTGAGTTGTTCCCTGAATTTGCTATAGAGCCTACAGGTGTGCTACAGACCAAATAGGCAGAGGACACAGAGCCCAGATCCTCATCCGAGGCTGTGAGGCAGGCCTGTCAACACCAGCTGGGAGTCTAGCCTACTTACACCACTTAAAACAGGGTTAAGGAAAGCAGCAATGCTTTTCTTAAAACGACACATGTGGAAGCAGAAGAGGACAAAGCATGCAGAAAAGTGCTCCTGAGAGCATTCTCCAGGAACTTCCCGAGCCAGAAGCTGTGGCTTTGTAACGCTCAACAAATCTCTCCCATTAATTCTGCAGTGGCTTTTGCAATCCACAATTTCTTTTTACAGAGTTCAGTGATGTCCTCCCGGAGTTCCTCACCGTTGGCAGGGCCCTTCAGCAAACCGGCTCCGTATAACCTGCAGCCTTGAAAACTTCACTGTTTACTTCCTTGTTAAGGTCACTGATAACAATCAATGCTTTCACTGTTTGCATATATGCAGTCATGTGTCAATAATTTCCACCAATATAGCTTTCATGCATTCAAATCCTAATGCATGAATATTTGCCCAGAAGCTTGGCCCAGGTCTGCCTTCTTTACTGACAGGTGAGGTGGGCTATGGAATCTCACAGCAGTGAACACTCACTGAAATGATGGCAGAATAAACTAACTGGGAAGATTCAGTAACTCTAATGTTGGTAAACAACATTATAAAGGCTGTGAAAATCACATGACTCCTGGCAGAAATTTTGCTGTTAGGTTCTTTGTACAGACACCTTGTTCCATTTGATAATCTTTTCCAATACATTTTGTAGTAACATAGCTAAGCTAATATAAAAACAGATGAATGACACTTATTCCACAGAAGCCCTTTGGTTGCCAAGGTTTCTCTCTCAAATACATACAAAGAAAAAACTTAGAAAATTAACTATTGAAGCCAAGAAAATAGATAATTTTGTTTGATAATGCGAATGCTGAAATTAGACTCACCACAAATCTATTACCTAATTCCTTTGCATATTTTTGCATGCCACCTAGTGAGTGTAACAGTGTTAGAAAACTTCTGCTTAGGATTTTCAATAGAATGAAAACATGCAGATTTTCAATTTTAACACAAAATAGCAGTTATAAATGTCAGCTAAATATCTGATGCGACTGCATTCAATTACAATTCGAATGAACGATCACATGAAGAAAAGAAACTTTGTCTACTTGGAACGAGCAGAATTTCAAAAAATGCAAACAGGACTCCTCATTAAATAAACTGAGTTACCATGGAACATGACAGAAGATACTCTTGAGGATCAGAAACTGGAAGTAAAGCATAGAAATAAATGAAATATTGCAATGACAGAGGTTAACAGTGGGATCTTGCAAGAATGTCTAAAAGGTCTGAACAGTGAGATGACAATATATGCTACTGAATTATTCAGGATAAAAAAAAACATATACAGTTACAAGAGATCTCAGAGGAACAACAGAACATTAAAGTGAAAGATGGCATCTTGATAAATGCAGAATATACACACTGGGAAAAACAATCCTAGCTGTACACACATAATGATAAGCTCTAGAACAGTGATTAAACTCAAAAACAAACATTGAAACCACCGTGAAAAGATTTCTGAAATCAGCAGCTTAATACCCTAAAGGCAGTTAAAAAGACAACTGCAATACCAGAACTACTAAGAGAAGAAAAAGAAGCAGAAAAAAAATAGAACTGTGCCAGTGTGTAAGTGCAGTATGCTTTTACTCTCCACCCTGCAATTCTAGTTATCCCACCATAAAAACAAATAAAGGGATGAAGAAGAACTCGGGAAAAAATATACAGTAGAGAGAAGGTAAAACACACACAGTTGCTGTTTCTTAGTACGTCTCAGAGAGCACAGAAAAAGTTACCAAGCAAGCAAACCAAAACCACTTTCTGCATCATACACTATCTAGTCTGCAGCGCTACCTCCGCAGGAAGGGGATTATCAAGGTGAGAAATAGATGTCTGCTCAAGAGGGGGCTAGTGAAAGAGGAGCTAGGTCCACTGGCAGTAATTTAATATGATTAGCAAGTTTCTAAGCAGTAATTTAGATTGCTAGATGCTGGAGAGCTCATGGGGCTCATTCTACCACCGGCCCTGCTTGTACAGCACCCCAAAGTACCATCTGCTGGGGCATGCTGCACAGCTGGTGAGGGCAGACAGGGTTCCGTGCAGGCCCCACACAGTCATCCACCTTCTTCAAACCAGGAGAGGAAGAAGAGATTATGAGGTTATAATTCCCCATTTTCTTCATTGTATTAATAGTTCTTTATTGTTTTAAAAGACATGGCAATAGGCAGGGAGAAGCATGAACTACATAGTGTCCTAGCCATTAGCTAATAAACCTACAGAAATTTAAAAAAAATGCTGTAGAGGAAGACAAAACATGGTCAAATAACTGCAAGCTGTTGTCTTCCCTTTCCTCCTCTTATTGGTGGGAGAAAAGAGCGTGCATTAACTTCGCAAATTTCCCCTTCCTCGTAAAAGGTATTAAAACCTGAAAGAATTATCTAAGCAGTAAAACCCCCAATCTTTTAGCCTATGTGGTATGCAGAGATTTAAAAAAAAAAAAAGCCAGCAAGGCCCCTCATTAAACTGAGTTACCGTGGGATACGGCAGGAGACACTCTTGAGGATCAGGAACTGGAATAGCCAAACACAAAAGTGACACATCGCTGCTTTAAAACAAACGTGACTCCTACTATTTCTTTTAGAGCAATGCAGCTCCTAAACACCATTTTTCATTTATTTAACAGATACAGAAAATATAAAAGATCCAAGTTTTCATCATCAGACCACCTAAGCTGTTAGTGAGCTCTGCATGAAGGAGGAACACATACATGTAGGTCAAATTTCAGAACTCTTCAGAAAAAAAAAAAAAAAAAGGTGATTTTAGGAAAATACAATAGGAAGAAGACAACCAGCAATCAGAAATAATACAGAAATAATTTCAAGGGTAAGACACATCACAAAATAGGAACTTGAAAACTGGGAAACAAGGTGTCATAAAGGAAGATCCTCCAAAGGGTAGCAGCAGGATATTATCAGCAGGACTGCAAGTTTTCTGTCATTGTGGTTGTTTATAAGATGAAGGAAAACTGTAGTATAAACATCTAGAAGTCATCCAAACCATCCCAATACAGGGAAGGAACAAGAACAGCTGGTGTTACCAGCCAGAAGATCTATGTTTGGAGAAAACAGCAGAACCTGAAGCTCTACTCCTCAGACACTTTTGAGGTTCTGGCATTTTTTTTCCCCCCATTGTAAATTGAAACAAGAATAAAATCTTCCAAAGACAACAGCAAAAACAGAATTGTGTAATATCTGAAAACAGGAAATTAATTCTACAGCAGTTTTCAAAGCAATAAATAAGAGTGCTAGATTTCATTTAGTCCAAAGCCTTCTAAATAGCCTTATGTGGAAGAACTTGTGGTAATATTGTTAGTGTCACTGTTGATATAAAACAGCATACACATGGCTAAATACACTTTTCCTCGAGAAGCACAAGTTAGCAAAAATCCAGAAATAAAAGAAGAACCACAGAGTGTAAAAATACCTAGTTCAGTTTACTGCAATTTCCGTCCATCACCTCAAATACAAAAGCAACATTTTAACAAACAAGCCAAATAGGATTATGCATTCACTGGCCAGTTAATTCATTAGTGCCCTGCAAAGTCAAAAGTCATAAAACACTGCATGCAAATAAGTTATTAGCAACAATAACATGTTGCATATTAGCAAATATGCTAATGCATTGCAAGCAAAAATAAAAGATGAAAAAAAATACATATACAATGGCAGCTTTCCTAAGTAATGCAAAGTACTCTTGACCATCATAACCACCAAAGAGTAAACACACCTTATCAGTGCATGTTCTAAATCCTAATAGGAGGTTACAGTCCCAGGAGAGTACCCATCACGACTGGAGGACAATCAAGCTCATTATAAACATTTAAGGTGTACAAGGATGCCCATACTCAGTAATAAAATTTGGCTTACTTAATTGTTTTGAAGAGTTTCAGTAGTTCCAAATACTCCCAGCAGAGACACTACAACTTAAGCTGTTCTAGCAAAAAACCAGCCTTGCTCTTCCACTGTAAATCCTGGAGCTCTGCGTTTATTATTTTTATCAAAAATAAAGCCTTAAAAAAAGCTTTGGGAACTAATGACAAACATTCAGTATGGTAAAGCACCAAAAAAACCCCAAAACAAACAACAACAAAATCTCTGACAGTCCTGTCATTTTCCCAGAGTGAAATGTGTAATTTGAGAAGACACAGAACCCAGCTATACCCTCAGCATACTCCATTTGCAAGCTTAATGCTTCCTTTCCCCCTGAGACAATCCCAAGGCAAGCAGCAGGATGACAGTCTGAATGAACGCCCTGAGGCTCGGGAAGGCAGAGTCCACCTGCTGCAAAAGACACCAGTGAAACCAAGCACAATGGGACACTAGGACTGTCTGCTTCAGGACTGCAGTATGGGGTGAGGGATGAAGCATGCCATGGCTCTCTCCATAATTGAGAGCTAGCCTAATGTATAATCACGGCTCAAACAATCTGGAGAAAAAACTAAAAAACCAAAACAAACAAACAAACAAAAATTTCAAGATCATTAGGGAAAAGAAAGAACCACTTTGGTTGTAGCCTGCAGAACAAAACCAGCTCCTCTTTGAACATATTAACAGCCCCAGGCTCACTGTGTTACATAGATTGTAAGGAATGAGTCCCAGAGAAACTGAAGCTCATCAGAAGTAAGATTCATGGGAATGTTGCTAGAGTATTTTTTACTAACTGCCATTTATTTAATAGGATGCCTGTGACCAAGATGCGAGCATTGAAATGTTAGGATAAAATCAGAAGGCAGCAAGCCTACTGCAGCAAACACTTTCCCATCAGGTATTGTGCTGCAATGATCAACAGCTACAGCAGATTAAATAAAACTCTGATGATAATGTAACAAAAGTTTTCAGTGTTGTACCTCATTATCACTCACATATCTCCTTCTTCTAGTACTAGTGTCCTGGGAGCAGCTTAGTGAAATTCCCTCCTGATTGGCCCAGTGACAATTAATAAATTATGATTCTAAGTCTATTTTAATATTAAATTGCTTCAAAGTTGGGTGCCTGATGTAGTTGAGGTAGAAGAAGCTTAAGAGAGAGGAAGATGCTACTTGAAAAACTAGATCCTCCTCCTTGGCACACAAGGTGTCAATCTCACACATCTACTCATTTTCAGCTCATGGTGACTTCACTTCAAACGTAGGATTTTGATTCCAAATAAATGAATAGCATCTGGTCCTCTGGTAGCTTTTTCTAGTAGAAATTCATACCTTTAGCTTTAGAAGTGCTCTCAGCGTTGCTGAACACTTAAATAATTGAGATTCGGGCTTAGCTGGTATAATGAAAAGGATCTGATATACTTTTGGGTTTGGAAATTTTTCTGCTCTATATGCCTATATAATATCTGTTTCAATACTGTCTGTGCCTTCAGACTGGCACAGTGACCTTCATGCCATGCATTCCAATACTTCAGAAAGATACCAAGAGAAAAGCACAAATGAAAATGCCACCACGCAAGCTACTAGCTTCAGAGATTTTATTTTTCCACACAGACATGGAACACCAAGATACTACTTCCCATCCATTTTCCTCTCGCATATGACAGCTCTTCTCACTTTCCTCATCATGTAGAATATAAATTATAGACTTTCATTCTTTTAAATTCTTTTTCTTACACCAGCTCGGCTGACAATTCAACTCTGCTTTCCAGCTAATTTCATAAGACAGCATATGTTTCTTTGGGACTCAGCCTGTCTCTCTCCGAGATCTTCTGGATCTTCTATTCACTGTGGGGTGTGTGGGAAATAACAGGTCTTTTTTAGTTCTTTCACACAGGCAGAGTATCTGAGCAACAGGAAACGAGCTATCCACATAATGTCATAACTAGCACTTGCACTGATGGATTCATCAACTTACTGCTTCAATCACCAAGAAATACTGGAAGCATGAAACTGCCTCTTAGAAGACTCACATCTTCCTGTATGAGACTGCTCCATTCATAATCTTGTCTAGCTTTTTCTCCATTCCCTACATTCACAGATATTTTCACTTCTTAAATGGAGATATTCGCTGGCTCTTCTCTTGCCTTACAGTGATGAAGCATTTAGAGATCAATATTACATATTCTATTCTCTGTACTTATAAATAAATCTATAACTATATATGCATTTGATACGGTTCAACACAGGTCATAGTAACTACTTTGCTACTTCTCCAAGTAACTGGTCATCTGCAGAAGGTATTGTCCTGAAAAATCATATGAAAATTGCTAATATTTTTTTGTTTTTATAATTAAACAAATTATGTATACATAAACTCTAGCAGACTTGAGCACCTCCTACCTGTAAAAACTCTAGGCAAAACATTAAGACACAAAGATGAATAATAAGATGGGAAAACTATTAGAAGCTATTCCCTTAACTGTGAACTCAATTTAAG